GGTTTGATGAAATCATGAATTAAATTACTTAGAAGCAGTGTCTGGTAATAAGTGCTAACTAATTATTCTCTTTCTATTTTCTTGTCATTTTGTTAAAACAAGATTATGTTGTATGATCAGGACTCACTAATCTGAAAGTCATTTTTTAATCCCCTAGTGAAAGGTATTCTGGAATTGTCAGTTCCTATCCTGTGCCTTTAACTGAGCCACCCACATCCACTGCTTCCAATTGGCACCCAATAAGACACAAACAAAACCCTAGATTCTTTCACTTCCACTTCTGGCCTTGTGTTTATTCAGCTCCCAACCTTTGGCCACTGTTTCCCATCCCCAGTCAGCACTTGCCTGTTGGACCTAACAACTGAATTGATTTGATCATAGGGCTCTTGCTTCCACTCCCAGTATCAACCTCAATCAGGATTTTAAATCTCCCCTTGACCCCCACCCCCAGCCATTCTAGTAGCTCTACTCTTACCTAGAGCTCATTCTCTCTCTTTTTTTTTTTTTTTTTTTGTTCATTTTTTTTTCTTTTCATTAAGTTTATTGGTACAGTTTAGGTATACAATACAGTTACATTCATCATTGGGAGCTTGTACCTTTACACGGTGTATCTTGGTTCTTATTTTTTCCCCCTTCCCCTGCCCTCCCTTTACCCCCTCCACCCTTCCCTATTTACAAAGACTTTGTTTCCATTTTTTCATTTTCTCATATTAATTCCATTCCCCTTTTTCCTTTCCCTACCCCTTTCATTTCCCCTTCCCCTCTGCATGTTTTCTTCCTATTTCACATTATCAATTATATATTTTGATCCTTATTTACATTTTTAGTTTTCACACCAGAGAAACTATTCAGTATTTACACATGTGTGTCCTGTTTATTTCACTTAAGAGTATTGCCCCAAGGTGCATCCATTTAGCTATAAATGTCTCTAGTTTCTCATTCTTTATGGCTGAATAGTACTCCATTTTATAAAAAAAAAAACCCACATCTTCTTTATCCAGTTAGAGCTCTTGACTCAAGGTGATGTATTTGTCTTGGAACAATCAAATGCTCTTCATTTCACTTTCATTGTTGATTTTTTTTTAATGTTTGGGGCTAAGAAGATAGGACTTGGGCTCTTTATATTTCTGTGTTTCAGGAAAGGGAAAAATGGAATTTTACCAAGTGTTATTTTTTTCCCTTTTCTTTTTGTATTAACTGAACTGGCTTCAGATCCCCCCTCCCCTCTTTCCATCTGTTGCCTCTGGTCTCCCATTCTAATGGTGCTCAGATTCAGCCTGCCCACTGAGTGGTTCCCAATCTCTATCAGATGCACTTGTTCCTTTCCTTTCAAGAGCTTCACTTCAATGTGTACAAGTTCCCATATATGATTTAGATTAGTTGCCAGAACACTGCAGCTTCTTTCTGAATTTTAGAGTTTATCTGTCAATTTGTCAATATTGCAGACTAAACTTAGGTTAGTGTCAGAAAACAAGAAAGAACTTTGGTAAATCAATTAGAATTATACTGGCAGTTCTGGTGTGGACAAGAAATATTTATTGTCTTTTTTATCTCTTTGTCTTACAGTGAATTTCCATTTATATTATCTTCTCATCTGCTATTTGTATATCAATCTCCACTCTATTCCACCCAGAATATTGAGTTCCTTTAGAATATGGACTTGATCTACTTATATTTACAGCTCTGTCCCCAGAACTCAAAATAGTACTTGGCAAGTAACCTGCAACCAATCAGTGTTTGCTGAATCAATAGGTGAACAAATGGGAAGCCAGATGGAGTGTAATTGGACCATACCCTTTAGCATAAAAAAAATTCAGTTCAAGTTTTGGGTTATGTCACTTCCTAGTTGTGAGACTTCTCTGAGTTTTTTTTGCATCAAGAAAGTAGACATAATAATAATATATTTCTCATAGGCTTGAGGGAAGTTTTTAATAAGGTAATGCATGTAAGATTCTTAGCACAGTAGGCATAATTTTAGAACTTACTAAATATTGACTATTGTCTATTATTTTTCAATGGAAATATTTAAATATTGAAGCTTTTTAGAGGTAATTACTGAAGAAATTAGTTCAATTAATATTTCAGCCGTATTTTATTTAAAGAGTCAAGTTGACAAAAAAATGAATTGGTCACAGTCACCATGTTTATAGAACTATATGAGGCTTTTAAGAATGAGTGGGATGCAGGGATAAATATGACACAATCCTGTTCATTCTAATAACATGGAATCTAGAAGATTCAAGTGTGTAGCACTATTCTGAGTATACATAAATATGAGGTACTATTACCTTCCACATTATCTGACTTATGCTGCCTGCTCTGCAGAAAATTGTGGTATATACTACACTCAGCCTCTGCTTTGAACTCTTACAATAATGATACCCACTCCTACTACAACAGCTTATTCTACTGGGGGCTAATAATCACCATTGGAAAGATCATTCTTCACATTAGCACAAATCTACCACACTATAATTTTTACATATTGATCCAATTTCTGCCTTCTGGACCTACTTGGAATCAACCCATGTTTTTCCTTTCTAAATAAGGTCTGCTGGCCAAATCTAACCCACTGTTTATATTTGTAAATAAAGATTTACTGGAGCCCAACCAGGCCTATTTGTTTACATATTGTTTACAACTGTATTTTGTCCTACAATAAGAAAGTTGTTGCAGCAGAAAACTTATGCCCCACAAGGCTGAAAATATCTGCCATTCAGCTCTTGAAGAAAATACTATTGATTTCTGTCTACATGACAGAACCTAAAGTCAACCTATATGATTCCTCTCAAAATGTTAAGCAAGGGATGAGCACAAGGTTTCAAGTGGAGGCTAAAATAGGCAGAATTAAGCTAAGACTATTACCTCCTTCCTCTTGATGTCACACTTCCAGTAATGTACCCAGAGGTCAGATTGGTCTTTGAACTATAATACTGAGATATATGAAACACTTAATCTCTGAGATATTTATCCTAAGAACTTCAGTTAATAATATCTTTCCACCCTGCATTGTTGTACCCTAGGGTTGGAAAGTATATGTCAAACTTTTCATCTGTCTAGTTTGTTCAGAGCAATCAGAAACCATTCAGCATATATTCAAGGACTATCTCAGTCAGGTCAGACAGGAAAAGATAGTACTCTCTGGCAAGATTTTTAAGAGAATGTATGTCTTAGCTACTTTTCTTGTTGCTGAAACACAATACCTGACACCTACAAATTAAGGGAGAGGTTTATTTTGGCTCACAGTTTGTAGAGGCTTCAATCCATAGTCAGCTGGCTCCAAGACAAGGCAGTATGGCAGAGGGCCATGGAAAAGAAGAAATAGCCCATGGCATGGCAACAGGAAGCAGAGAAAGATCAAAAGAAAAGGTAGAGATATATACCCTTCCAGGCCACACCCCCACTGAACCACCTCCTCCAACCAGGTGTCACCTCCCAACATCACATTTAGCCATAAACTACGGTGGGTGGACCCCCACTTGAAGCTAAGGGCAAGGAAGCCATAGGAGTCAGACACACAGGTCACAGAGCAGGAAAAGAATAAGTGTAGGAGCCAGAGCAGAGAATGACCAGGGCTATACACAGAGATCCAGGCATCTAATATGTGCTGAGTAAATAATAGATGAATGGCTGACATGAGCCCAAGGCCTATCACTCAACAAATGTTTGTTGAATGGTAGAAAACATGACCCCCTTCATGCCCTTCTTCCAGAAAGCCCTCACTGCTTCTCAGTGTGGCAGACTCTCCAAAGCCAGTGCACCCTCAGCCTGTGTCCCATTCCCTCTGTCCCTTTCCCTAACCTCTGCTAAACCCTCAGGGTTTCCCATCAAAAGTGTAAAAAGAGACTTCATTTTATACAGACAGTAACAGAGAGGAAAAGGAGTTGTTCTGAACAGAGATAAGACATTATTAAACAGAGATCTGTAATGATTCCCAGACCCTAAAATGCATTCTGGAATATTTACAGTTTTTTTTAAGTGAAAACTTCAGTGTCACTGGACTCTATGGAGAAAAATTTGTGGCTTCTGGGAAGGCATCCCCCAGACATGTGTGTCACAGGCTCTGAATTCACCAGACACCTCATTATCCAATGCCCTGGTGGTGGATTTCTCTCACTCAAATGGCCCCATCACAGCCTAAGCTGTGATTGCAAAGCTTTGGTTTGGGCTCTCAGTTCACTATGCCAATAGCAGCACTGTTTAGAAAGTGGTGAACATGTGTAAGAGAGAGATTCTCAAAAGTCGGAACTGGCCATCACCAGCTTCCTGTCAGCCATGTCTTGCTCTGTCAGTTGAGTCAGTGTGGGGAATATTCAGCACTGATTTCCTTAAGGGATGATTCTTAAGATTCTGAATTTCCAAGAGCTGGAAATGATTTGAAAGAGGGAAAGAATCAAACTTGAGCTTCGGGGAAAAGTGGCCAAAGTCTCAGTTTATCTTTGGCTACGTCAAGATTTGTCAGTAAATTCCACTCACGATCCCCAGTGTCAATTTTCATAAAATCTAATCCCAGAAAGATTGACCGGAAAAATCTATAGATCAGATACCAATACTAGCTCAGTGTTAATTTTCTGATTTTAATCATTGCACTACATTTATGTAAGAGACTCTCTTATTCTTGGGAAAACAAACTGAAATATTTAAATACAAAAGGGACATCATGACTGTGACTTATTCTCAGATGATTTAGAAAGAAATAATTTTTGTACACAGAGAACAGGATGATAAACCACATGTGGCAAAATATCAACAATAGGGTACCAGCGTGAAGGCTACATGGGATTTTTTTATTTTGTTTTTTGTTTTACCATTTTAGTATAGTTTTTGTAAGGTTAAAATTACTTCACAATAGTCAAAAAATTAATTCCAGAAAATGAGAGCGACTATGTGCCTTTCACTGAAGTGACAGTGTTCAGCGTGCTCAGTGTGACAAGGTGAGACAAAGACAACAGGGTCTACTTTGTCACATTTGAGCAAAAATGATTCATTTCCTCTTTCAGGTGAAGAACTTTTCTCCCATTCATGGAGTCGAGCACTAAGGATGCTTTGCACATGAGCCCTGAAGGTAGGATGAATTCGAATCTGTATCCCCTGTCACACCTCCCTACTGCCTGTTTCATCCAGGCAAAGGCAGGAACTCAATCATCTTAGTACAGAGATCATCTCAAACCTGTCAAAGTCCACACTGGGGTATTCTGCAGTCCTCAAAGACCTTTTCAGTCTCCCCAGCCTGTCCGGCTCTGACAGCCTATGTTTATCCCCTTCTTTGTTTTCTTAAAGCAAAAACTAAAGGTATTAATATTTGATATCTTCTAGTGGCACAATTAGAAGATTCTTATTTTCTCCTTATAGTTTTCTGTACTTAAATTTTCAATGAGGGCTGTGTTACTCTCAAAATCAGAAAGAAGCTTTGTGTTTGCTTTTATTTTTCCAAGCAGCTCTATACAAATTCTGTCACAGCTTTCTGTGTTCCCTCTCAGCCTCCCTAATGTTGCTACTGCAGTACATCTTCTCCCTCCTAGCCCATCTTCCTTGTCCACTAACAGCAAAAAAAATATATATATATCCTAGATTGCCAAGACTAGCTGTTAAACAGTCATGAAGTATTATGATTTTATTTTATAGATGGAGAAAACTCGTGGTGTGCCTCTGTGTTTGCTATAGTCAAATGGGTTCAACCCTCGAAATAAATTTGATGGATGTAATCCTGAGGCTGCACACTCCCTCTTTCAAAGGAAATAAAGAAATGTAAGAACTTGTGAAGATGGGAAACTGTGTTATCAGTTGAAGAAAATGCTAGGCAAAAATTTCCTTGGATTCTTAGGTCTATCTCATTGTGTTTAGTAGTCTCTCAAAAATAAGAAAGTGATGACCCTTTGACAGCCAGAAGCAACTTGTTGTCAAAAATGTCTGACCTTCCCCTTTAGAGTTTTTCAAACACCGCTGACATTCTGGGCCAAATAAGCTTTTATCATAGGGATTTTGTAGGTACTAAGTAGGATACTTAGCAACATCTCTATCTCTAGCCACTCTACATCCAATAGGACACCACCTCGACATCAGCTTTAAACTCAGCCAAAAGTGCTATAGCCCAATGTGTGGAATGTTTTCAGAAATTGCCTAAGGTTCTGAGAAGGACATTTCTCTCCAGTAGTGACAATAATATTTCCAAAGGTTGTCAAATGTCCCCAGGCTGAGGACAAAATCATCCCTATCAAAACCCTGTTCAAAGTTTCCTCAGCCCAGCAGGAGCTTTTGTTTTTGTGAAAATGGACTAAAATTTACAGTGTTCAGATTAAATACTAGCAAATACCTATGGAAGAAATGCCATAGTTGTCAAAGTGCTTTGGGTACAACAGAACCTTGCGGCATAAGAGCCCTGCTCAGAGTTCTGGAAATATCAAACAGGTGAGTCAACCCAGCCAGCCTTCTGTGGGTTTCTTTCTCCTTTCTGGGCTTCTGCCTTTTGCCATCAAATGCCCCAAGCTATTTACTTGAAGGAAAGGCAAATGAGGGAGGACAAAGGAATGCTGCATCTGGGATGGTCCTGCCCTTCAGGAGACTGAGGAGTTGGGAGAGCACTGTGTAGTCTGAACTGTGTGGCAAAGCACTCAAAATATTTATTTGCTACTTTTTATTTCTCTATGCACTCATTTATTGACCACATGTTTACATGAATGATTGGGGATTTAGTTTCCAATTTACTTTACAAAATTTCATATTTTTTTTACTATTTTTACATTCTGGGGTAATACTTTAACTAGAAATCCTTTGTCCATTCCCTGAGTCTGCAGAGAAGGGGAAGTGTTGATAGTAGACTCACCTGTGGTTTCACTGGGGAACTGTGACCCTAGGAGAAGGTAAATGTGCATTCTTCTTGCTTATCTCCAAGTGCTCCTCAAGGGGTTTTTATCCCTTAGTTGTCCTCTTTCCCTGACATCTACTCCAAATTATCCTCCACACTTCACCCAATATGATATTTGATTTCCAAAGATGCTTCTGCTGCCAGTGGATAGCTATAAAAATACAGACAGGAACTTGAAAGTAGTTATGGTTGGCCAAGAGACACAGTGCAATTTCAGGGTGAAAAGAATGTTTATAAAAGAATGAAGAGGGAAAAAAATTCCCTAAATGGGGGAATTAGAATTATGATTACAGTTGCAATTTATGTCCAAAATTTGGCCAATGCACCACAATCCAATGTATAACCTTTAATCTGGTTCCTGGTCTTTTTATTTAACATGTAACTCTCCAAATTGATCATAATCATTCCTGGCAATCACTCCCTGGCACCTCTTTACCAGAGTGGAGCAAAGCACCTCTCTGCTTGGCACCCTAGATTTTTTTTTTGAAAGACCTCTGGCATCTGTCAGGTTCTGCCCATTCCAACTATCATACCTCTGGCCATTTTCTAGGTGTCCATCCTTCTCTCCTTAACCATGTAGAAGAGCTATGAAAAAATGGAAACATGACATCTAGTTTACTGCCTACAACTGTGCCATCTTGAACACCATCGTCAAAGTCCCAGAGTATCTCAGTCTGGCTTCCTCTGCATATTTAGCACCGCCATACTGTCATCTTCATACATGTCCACAGGTGTTCAACAACATTTGTTGAGTGAGTGATTGACTGAATGTTTTTATAAGGCCATACAGAAAACACTACTCTAATTCACAAGTTCATGGAAAGAGAACTTGGCCCTGAGCTGCACAATTATTTCTTCCTATTACTCAGTAGGCCCTTTAAATTACCAAAGGATATGTTACCAGATTCTCTTGATTCCTCAATAATCTTTTCAGGTACATTAATTTGAACTCAAAGATGGAGGGACAAAGCCCACTGAGATGTGGCTAGTAAGATGGTTGTTTATTAAGTGAACAAAAAGTTCAACAGCAGAAATCAAGGAAATGTGAGAGCTCTCAAGAAAAGGCAAAACCTCAATTGTGAAATCTTCAAATGGCAAGGAAACCATGATCTTCAGCTCATTTTCTTTTAAGTTTTTAAGTTTACGGACTTTTAAATAAAAACACATTTTTATTTAGGTTTTTAACAAAAACATATCATTCAGGAAACACAACTTTGATTTTAATCAATAGGATACATACTTCTGAAATTATTTCCTTCCTTACCTTCCTGATTGAAATTTTCCAAGGAGTTTTGAGGTCATTTATGAGCTGAACCATTACAGTCTGAAGTGGTGGACACAAGATACCATAGAGACTGAATTCAGATTAAGGTCGTACAGATCAAGGACTTTTTTCTGAAATGAAATGTCCAGGATTCAAGAATTTCCAGCTTTAGAGTTTTCTTTTGCTACCCTTTTTCTCTCTATCTTCTCAACCTCTCCTTTCTTTTTCCTTACATTCAATTTGACCACTAAAAGTTCTCACTTTGATTAGTTAACTCTTTTCTAACAGACATAACATTTCCTTCTACTCTACTAGTGCTTCTAATGTATGAATTCAGAAACCAATAATCAAATTTTAGAAAATTCAAACAATTTGAAATGAATATGAGTTCTGAGTAAAGAAGGAATTTTCCTACCAGTCCTGTAGGTAAGTGGATTTTGTTACATTTAATTTGCCCAAAATCCTATTGGGCTTCCTTCCTGGATCTCATATATGGTCCAGATAGTTAAGATTGCTAGATAAGTGAGCTTTAAAATGGTGGTACAGAGTACAGAGGAAGGGGCTTCTGGACCACCATACCACTGATCCCAGTGCAGAGGAAGGGGCTTCTGGGCTGCTGTACCACTGCTCTCAGCCCAGAGGAAGGGGATTCCAGGCCACCATACCACCACTCCCAGTGCAGAGGAAGGGGCTTCTGGGCCACCATACCACCACTCCTGGTGCAGAGGAGGCTTCCAGGCCACTATACCACCACTCCCAGCACAGAGGTAGGGGATTCCAGGCCACTCTACCACTGCTCCCAGCACAGAGGAGATGTGCCCTGTGGGCACCAACAGCACACACACACCCTGCCCCCCCCCAGTGAAAATGAGAGACATATAAACAAGTCTCAAAATCAGACTTCCAGATCACCTAAAGCAACCTTAAAGGGAAATGAGATAGAACACTGATACAAAACCACCTGGACTCCCTGAACTGGCAACAAAAGAGGATCTGGAAAAAAATGAAATCAGAAATAATTTTTCAGATAACACCACAGATTGTGCTCATAGTGCAAGACATGATTAATAAATCTAGAGAGGAGCTCAGGAACATGATGGAATCCCATAGGAAACAAATGGAATGCATAAAACAGATGCAAGCACATTTCCAGGAGATGAAAATTCCATTGAAAGTCTACACAGCCAAATGAGCCAATGTGAGGACAGAATTTCAGATATAGAAGTTAAGATTGTAATTAGTGTCCAGGAAAAGAAAAACTGCTTCAAAATTGCAAGAGAAATCAATCCAGCAGCTGTAAGATGAGGCAAAGAAGAATAACATAAGAAGGATTGGAGTCTTTGAAGAAACAGGAGAGAGTGCAGATGACATAAAAAAAAAACTCTTCACAGAAGTAATGGCAGAAAACTTCCCAAGCAGAGGAAAAGAACTTGACATACAGAAAAGTGAGACACATAGGACTCCAACTAGCCTTGATCAAAAAAATCTACACATAGGCATATAATTGTTACGATTCCAGAAACCCAACAGAAGAACAAAGTTCTACAAGCAGATAGAGAAAAGAAACAAATCACATACAAAGGAAAGCTCATCAGAATCACAGCAGACTTCTCAAGGCAGACCTTCAAGGCAAGAAGTGCTTGGAGTGACAAACTCCAAGCCCTAAAGGAAAACAGCATCCAATCCAGATTGATGTACCCTGCAAAACTATCTTTCAAAATGGATGGAGAAATAAGATACTTTCATGACAAAGAGCACCTAAGGAACTTCATGAATACCAAACCAGCACTCCAAAATATTTTACACAATATCCTAGGAAAAGACAATGAAGATCACAACCCCAGGAAGCACAGCAGAAGGAATCCACTGAGCACAACAAGAAATTAAATGTAAAGGGGGAGAATCCAACAAAAAGAAAAAGTCATGACAATGATGT